ATTCAGAAAAATTTTGGAATGTTTTATGGTGTTTAGAATTCAGAGAATTTTCACATTTGATTGATTATATCCAGAACTAATGAATAGATTTTAATGAAATCTGGTATAAATATAGATTGTTATAACACACACACACACACACACACACACAAAAAAAAAAAAAAAAAAAAAAAAAAAAAAAAAAAAAAAAAAAACGCATAAAAGGTGCAAGCTTAATCATGTATAAAGCTCATCAGTGCAGGAAGGTATAAAACAGAGTTTACAGGATAATGCAAAAATGGAGCCTAATAGGTAGTACCACCCATCCAACAATCATATAGCTCTAATAATGTGACTTCATACGGGAAATGAAGCAGTTTATGAGTCAGTATGGCATAAAATCTCACTCTTGCAGCGACACTGTTTTGCAGACCTGGAAAGGGAAAGGTTGTCAGGACAATTGTTCCTTCTAACTGCCTTGGAAAACATCCAGAAATTCCACGTGGGAACAGGGAGCTTATTCAAGCTATATTTGTATGTGCATGGAATAGCCAATCAAGTCAAGAAGGGTTAACTTTACCCTTTATTTCTTACAGCGTACAGGTGTTCCTGCACTTCAGGATGCAGAGACCAACACTTTTGGTCTAAAATGTAAAAAATAAGAAATATTCACTTAATAACTAACTTAAGTAAATAAGAATTAAACTTAATGGCATTACAGAGACTATTAACATGAAGACTGGCCTTTTGAACCTGCGTAAGTAGTGAGCTAGATGCAAATGCAAATATTACAATACGCCTATTATATCAGCAGGAACTAAGTTCTGGCCTAAAAGCAGACACAAACTGATTGAAAGGCATGTGCACAGCAGGGAAGCAGGAAGGCTCTCTCTCACTTGGCTAGAAGCCACTTCTTAAATACCATTTATAGTTGCAAACTCATTAGCATAAAAATCCTACTTGCACTTATTCTGGCTGGAAACAGACAATAACAGAAGATAGCCAAAAATAAAATAAACATTAGTAAAACTTAAAATCCTTATAAGGTGAGATGCAGCTGCACTCTTATGCTCTACAGCAGCAGTTCTAAACCTATTTCATCCGATGTACTCTTTTCACTACTGCTAGATCATTCCCTCCTTCCTTTTCAAAACTCATAATATACATATACACATTTGTTTTACATTATTTTTTAAGTGATTTATAAAGTTAACAGCAAAATGGATAGAAAATGTTGATAAATACCAAATTTGAATGAAAGTAGTTTCTTATATCCATAAGCTAAAACTAAATATTTCACCATTTACGGAAGGGTATTCCATGTGCGCATTCCCTAGGAACATCTTTAAGAGTCAGATGTCCCACCTACGCATCACTGGAGAACGCACTTAAGGAATTGGTGATGCCTATACGCATGTTATGCTGAAACACTTATCAAAAACCACTAGATGGTGTTCTGTGTCTAAATTTTTTTGAACTTAATATAGTTTTAGGATCTTGATCTTCAGTTAGATACCATTCTGCCTAACATTGGTGTCAGCTGTTGGGAAAGCATAATGTAAAGAAACACAGTTTCAGGTCTTTAACTCGCCATTTGCATTTCTGATATCCCTTCGAATCCTTTTTTTTTTTTTTTGTTTTGTTTTTTGTAGGGGGAGCTACTATGAAGGGTCTTTTAGTGTTATTATGTGGGGTTCTATTATGCTTTGAATTGCTTTCATTGCTTATATTTTGCATACTTCCTTTTTTTTATTTTGGAAAGTTTTTTATTTCAAATTATTACGGTGAGCAACCATTATTTATCATAGGAAAGATACACTTGCACGATAAATGAGCCAATTAGTGGCATAGATGAGAGTGATATTTCTAGTGATTCTTGTACGGACATTTTGTCAGAGACTTAACTCACTGAGTGTCTGCCTTCTACTTACCATTAAAGATTTTGTTACTTCTTCTTGCAAACAGTCTTGAATTTTTTAAAATTAATTTTAAAGTTTATTAATGTATTCTGTAAATTAAAATTTTGGAATAATTTGAATAGTGTTTCCAAAAATTATATCTCAAAGTAAGCAATTTTTTAATATATTTTTATGTAAAGGAAAAAGACAATTAAATGCTAAATGTAACACATATGATAGCTTAAGTAATAATCTAAAATAGTACCATAAATTACAACTTAAACTTTTTTGTGTGCGATTCCCCCCCCTAAATTTAGGCTTAGCGATGCAAAACCCCCTCCTGTGGGATAATTCCTTTTGATTCCCATCTGTCCCAAGGGAACACCTTAAACAAAGGTGCACCATTTCAAAAGCGTTAGATGTAAAATAAAAGACCTACTGCATTCCTTGCTTGAGACTATGGATTCCCCTCCTGCCCTGGTTAAGAACTGTTCTACAGGGTTTAGGTGTGGAGCTCTGGTTGGTCAACCCATTCAGTTACTATCCTCACGTTCCAGAAAATCATCCACCGCATTAGCTTAGTGCGGATAAGCATTTCATCCGTAAAAATGAACTGATGGCAACTGCATCCCTGAAAAGCAGAACAGAGGACTCTTAAGATCTGGGCCTCTAGTTCTCTCCAGAAGTTAGGCTGAACTGGAACCAATCTCTGAAGAGATAAGCCTCCAGTGATGCTTGATCCAAAGACAGTGGTCAGTGCATCATGTTAAACAAGCTCTCTTATGTACAGATAGGAGTGGAATGCAGACAGCAGATTTATTTGCGAGCAGATGAAATCTCAGGGTTCTATGTTTTTTTTTTTTTCCCTTCCCCCTTCAGAGGCTTAGCAGGATTAGTTAATTTTTAAAAATAAAAAACATGCATTCACATAAGGAGAATCAGGTGAACAATATTTTTTTGTAAAGTGAATATATTAACTAAGTAGACTGGTTAGTTAGATCTTAACACTCTATAGAACATTCTTTGGAGAGTAGTTGCAACTTGCCCTTCCTTTCCCAAATCTCTCTAAGATTTGAAAACACTGCTGTTGCTGCAGTGGGACTGACTGTTCAAGCATGAAGTCACACTGGAAAAGATACATGACTATTAGATGAGATCCTACCCCTGTTTAGTCTCTCAATTTTTTCTCTTTTGCAATCTCAGCTTTAGCTTTCCCTGCATTAAAGAGCCTTATGCAAGTGCACCAAGATTGCTGGATGGTATATATTTTTGTATTATATTAAATTACTGCCATACCAAATTTCATCAAAAACTATTCATCAGCTCTCCCCAAGTGAGAAATGACCATCAATCAACCAAATGTGAAAATTCAGTTAATTTTTAAACACCAGTGCATAATATCAGTTCTAACTGCCCCCTAAAAAACTGAAATTCTACAGGACCTAAGAATTTAAATTTGAGGCGGGCAGCAGCACATGAGCATAAGAACGCAACAAAGAACCGTACAAAAAGTTCACTGCATATTACTAAAATGGGGGTTTAAAATCAAAAACTTTAAAGCTCGAAGATATAACAAACTGAAACACTACAAGCAACCGATATGAGTATCACATGTGCTGCTATAAATTAATCATTTCTTTGAAATTTGCTCTTTTCATATACACTGCTGGCCACCCAAATTGCAACACGAATAAAGACAAGAGATATCACAACAAAATTTATTTAGTAGATAACATGTTGACCAAGTATCAAATGATTAAATTTATAGACTTCTGTAAAGTGTGGTTCCTTCCCGAATCAGTAGCCAGAGTAGCCACCATTGTTGGAGATCACTGCTGCAACACGCCTCAGCATTGATTCAAAGTGACTTTGGATGTGTTCTTGGGGTACAGCAGACCAAGCAGCTTCCACATGTTGCCAAAGTTGATCTCGTGTGGCAGTTTGGGATGTAATCTGGGTCAATTATTCAGCAACCACAGGCCACATTTTCTATCGGCGAAAGATCCAGAGAGTGAGCCAGCCAGGAAAGCAGTTCAATCTGCCGATTGACGAAGAACCCTAAGACAATGTGTGCCACGTGTGGTCTCGCATTATCCTGTTGAAATATGGCTGTGGGCAAGCCCTGAAGGTAAGGAAGGACAACTGGCTCCAACACCTCGGAGATGTAGTGCTGGCCTGTTTAAAGTACCGACAATGTGTATTAGATGAGTACAAGAGCGATATTCAATACCACTCATACCATAATACTCGGTGCAGGACCAGTGTGGCGGTGCATAACGCAGCTGTTCAGCATCATCTCTCCACGGTGTCTCCAGACTCGAGTTCGAGCATCGTGGTGTTGCAGACAGAAGCATGACTCGTCAATAAAGACAATTTCATTCTATTCTGCCGTCCATGTCCTTCTTTCATCGCACCATTGGCGGCTGAGATGTCTGTGATTCTGCATCAAGGGTAGACGAAGCAATAGACGTTTTGCGGATAGACCACTCTGCTGTAAACGGCGTCGAATGGTACACGCAGACACTGGATGATGCGTTACAGACTGAATGTGCTGTGCTATGTTTACTACGACTACTGATTTCCCTGAAAGATAATCCACACTCTCGGTAAGCCACTGTCCTTCTTCTGTCGAACTCGGATACTTGATCAAACGATGATCGCTGTTTTTACGAGGCATAACTGATCTTTTTTTTTTTCTTTTTTTTTTTTTTAAACAAGAAAAACACGACTGCCGAACATGAAACCATCCAAAACTCCAAGCTTTAAACAGCACTTTGAAGTGGCGCCAAAGGCGTGCGTGATGTGCTGAAATTCTAATCATTTGCATATCTCACCTCCGCTAATGCACGTTGTAAATTTCATGTTATTTGCATGCTCCCTTCAGTGTGTTGCATTTACGGTGGCCAGCAGTGTACTCCCCCCCATCTTTGAATTTTAAGGATCACTAAACTAAAACAAATCTCATTTAGTATCTATGGAGTTTAAGAACAGGCCAGGTAAACACAAGATAAAATTATTGTGCCTCCACTAATAAATGAAAAACATCCTGGATGTTATAATTCTTGAGATTTACACATCCTCTCTTAGAAAAAAGAAATATTTATGAAAAATGTGTTTACTTACTTTGTCATCAGTTTCATTATTAGGATGTAAACCCTATAAAAATGTATAAAATTTCAGTTAAAGAGTGCTCATCACATGAAATATAAAATTTCAATGATTAAATAACATAATTTAATCAGTTAAAAATAATAATTCTCATACTTTTAGATTTACAGATAAATTACAAATATAATGTACCAATGTTTGGCCTTTAGAAGTTGTTATGCATATGAACAGGTCAAAAAATTCAATTCAATAACTTTTGAGTCATTCTATATATGTTTATATATTCCTACACTCTTCGACACCCTTTAACTCTTTCGCATCGAAATCGCCCGTAGCGCCCGTTCATTCAGGCAACGGCAAACTGCCCCAACGCCTCGTTTATTTTCTACCTAGTTCTTTATCCTCCACGTTAGTGTATGGCTCATTGGTTTCGCGAGTTGTTAAAAGACATGTCAATCATTCTTTTGAAGCAAATAAAGGAGAAATACGGAAAGCTATTGACATTCGCAGGTGCAATACGGCCCTAAGGTGAAACTGCACACAATGGATGAATGGATGAAACCGCAGAAGGGGGAAAGGAAAACTATTCCAAGACTCGTAAACACGGGCGTTTTCGATGTTTGTTGAAAACAGATTTGGTCGTCTCTCGATGCGAAAGAGTTAAATAGTATTAAGAGAAAAAACATGTCAGATTAAATAGAAAATCTGAATTATTTCACCATGAAGCAGTAACAGATTTTATAAATGAAAGGAGAAAAAGTGACAAAAATATTGCTAACAAAACAAAAGGCTAATGCTGAAATTCTGAAACATGATGTATAATCAGAAATTAAAAACTGCTCATGTGCAGTAAATTCAATAACATACCAATCTAAGCAATGGCTAACTCTCAACTAACTATGGCTCCTCGTAGCCTCTACAGCCAATAGCAGGAGAAAATTAACAGTAGAACTTTCAAGAAAAACCAATCTTGAGGTTTTCTAATAATTTTCAGATTGTCACCAAGTTCTAAGAGATGCTTTCAGTCTGTATTTCCAATGCTCTATTCATATAACTATTTTCACAATTCCAATGTTAAATCACTTAGAATTAAAAATTTTATGAACAAAAATACTTAAACACATACAAATAAAATAAGTACTCATAAATTAAAAATTACTCAAAATAAAGGACAATAAAAATTTAATAAAAGTGTTATGTAATTATTCAAGTATTGTTGTAAACTGGAGGTTGTTGAAATGCTAATTACATGAAAGCAAAATATGCATAAATATAAAAAAGAAATATTTGAAGATACGAATGATGCAACCATCAGAAGAAATCAAGAAATACAACACCCAACAAACATATAAAATTATATATGGGGAGATACAAATATTGACGAATTGCATAGTTTATGTGTTATTGGCAATGTATGAAAAACAGATATTCTATATATAGCCTAGCGTTTTTTTGCCAAACATCAAATATTCAATTTATTACTATATGTACATTCTTTATGTGCTTTTTTTGTGTACATTTCGTAGAATTATAAATGCTCTTTACCCAAAGTATTTAAGAGTCATGAAAAGGTTTGGACTAAGAAGACAAAGAAAAACAAGACAGTATTAACACCTTATTTAACAGGAGAAATCAGTTCATTTTGGTCTTCCACTAGCATCACATCCATAACAATTTAACAAGCAATGGTCCTGGGTTTCCTTCTCAGTAGTCATCTTGCCTTTTCCCTCACTCAGAAAAAAACACTGAAACAAAGGCTGAAATGCAAATTGCAAATTTTCTGCCTAAGGCTAGCTTTAAAGTCACATGCCTCGTCAACTTTAGAAGCATCATTAGCAGTATTTTACACTTTCCCTGTTTCTCATTTGGCATCACACAGAATGCCTGGGAAGTGTATAAAATATTATTAATTTTTGCAATCTAATGGCAAGCACTTGCCTATTTAGCACTGACCACTTCTAATGCCAGAAGTGGTGGTCATTTTACTGTGGAAGCAACCTAACTTCCCATGAGGGGACAGACAGTTACAACCATGCCTTCTCTGGGATTCGAGCCTGGGCTCTTATATACAGCAGTAAGCGCCCCTAACCACTATACGGTCTAGGCAATACATAAAATATTACCTTGGATGTCCAATCTTTGGCACTTTAAACAAAGCCTGCTTTTTATACATTGCTGGTAGCATACACCAGGGAAACTGAAATTAACTATGCAATTAAGATACCAATGAGAGTTTTTATTACAAATCTCTAATCACGCTACAATATTCAGAATATTAGAACAATAAAATTTTATTACTTTTTGTTACTATAGCATAATTCAACACAAACACAGCTATTAATATGGAATACAGATTTATAATTCTATTACAAATATAAATTTGGCAATTTTGATGCCACAAAGTAATGTCATTTCTGTTTCAAAATCTAAAATAAATCAGATGCTAAAAATGAATTTTGCAATTAATTTGACAAGAATAGAAATTATGATTTTAAGATCTGAAGACTTTGCAAAGATGAAATATAGTGCTTCAGATTAACTTTATAGAAGTCCAATTGTTAAAATAAAATATAAATAAATAAGATAAAACTTACTTCAGAATATATATTTGGATGCAATGTTAAGGGCATTGGTAAATTTCTACAAAAAAGAAATAAAACTATGAGCTGATTTTCACTTTATTAAACAATATTTGAAAAATAAATATAATAATGTATTTGCATCTGTGCTTGTTTACTTCCGATATCCGATTCCTTCCGATATAGAACAAAATTTAGAAACAAGAATGATACAATACTTTGGTATTGTCGTAACCACGTAGGTGCAATTTTTTTTAGGATTAAAATAATTGGTTATTTCAAATAAAAAAAGTTATTTATGTCATATCATCAAGCATGTCACTAGGTACATATTTTAGTCTATTTTATCCCAGAAAACAATTTATGAAACTACATAGAAATGTTATCTCCCGCATGTAATTATTACAGCGTACCAGTGTCTTACCGGCCATTTTTACCTCTTATGAGCAAAATTCAATGCTTGTTGATTCTTTACTACAGTACATAAATCTGACTGCTGTAATAAACGGAAGATGATTATTCTTAAATCAATTACCACTTTGAATGCCAATGTTTTCGTTACACTTCTTCACGCTGCATTTCAAAAATACAATATCATTAAATGTCAATCTAAACATTCCCACTTTTGTAGTGAAATATTATATTCCCACAAAAATTTCACAAACTTTTTTTCACTTGCAAGCAAATTTCACAAGCACGTATTTCCAAATTCAGCTGAAAAATATCGCTATTTGTCTTGATAGCTTCTAATACAAGTAAAACAGCATGTATGAAAATGGTGATGTTGCTTATTCAAACTTACAGTTACTGATATGGTTACTTGAAGAATTATTACATGCATGAATTGCCACAGTTTGGCCACTTCTACCAGGATGGTTACAATAGCACCAAAGTAATATAGAAATTACTTTTCATGATATAATGTATATTAAAGGGAAAATATGCATAAAACTGAAATATATTATAATAAAATTTTTAAATATTAATCATAATACAGTCATCAAATATTAATCTGGAAGTTATGGAAAATTTTACTTAAAATTTCATCAAAACTTCAGCAATAATTATAGATTTTTATTTTTTACATTTATTTATTTATTTTTGATAGGAGAACCAGTAAGAAACAGAGTGCTTGTAATTTTTTTTTTTTTTTTTTTTTTTTATTTAATGCTATTTCTTACATAAATATTATTCAATTAATAAATTTCTGCAATATTCCATTAGAAATTAAAGATAATAATCCACTAAAAAGGCAAAATATAAAGAAAGAATTCTAGTTTAGTTGATATAACTGCCAATACATAGCTGTGTAATCTTTTTTTATTATTATAATGAAAAATATAAAAAAACAGAAAATATAAATAAATGAGAGATCAGAATGGGACAAAAGACTCTTTTAACATGACTACAACTTACAAAGGGCAATATTCAATTGAAACACTAATGATATCTTCTGGGGAAAAAATCATACGATCACAGCCCCAAACATCACCCCTCTTTTCACTTGAAGTTGGAATGGATCCTTGAACTAGAAAAGATTGTGGGAAAAAGTTATAATTTCATAACATAGGCAATTAAAGTGAAAGTAATTTTATAATAAACCATAGATTATATATTGTAAATATTCTATTAAAATAACTATTATGAAAACATTATTCAGTACATCTTCAAAAACTTATACATATTGTTGCTTGCGTACGGGTTCGTAATGGATTGAATGCAGAAGTCCAAAAGAAAGTTTATAAAATTTACTCTTATCATAAGAAATATTACAGGACACTGGAACTTTCCCCAGATATATTCAAATAAGTGTATCACACAATATAATCAGTAGTTACACTTCAAACTACTAACAACGTTAAAATACAGTGCAATGCAAAAAGAAAGAGAAAGCCAATTCAGATATCTCTGTTTTCGTGGAACTAAACAACTAAGATGTCTCTCTCCAGCTTTCTATAGCTTTCAATTGGTCGTGAAAAATTTCTAGCAATTTCTGCATCTCGAGATTTATAGAAAGCAATAAGAGACTATAAGTACGGTTACAGCTAACATAGTGTTCAATTACATTTATTAAATTTAAATATACGTTACCGAGATAACCTTTTATTCAATGTTAAATGCACATGCTTCTGTGTTTTTACTTTCCCCGGCAGAGCTTTCTCTTAAAATTTGTCTCGCACTGCACTGGGAAAAACAACAGTTTTAATTATAATTCCACTAAAAATATCTAATTAAATACAAAATTTGTAACAATATAAACAATGTTGATAAAATATAATAAAATTTATTTAGCTGCTTAATTTTTCATTATTCACAACTGCAACAATTATAAATTAAACTGGTACAGCCTCTATGGTTAATTTAAAAAAGAAAACATGACATTTTCCCTTAAAATGGTATTTAAGGCTTTGCTGGGGGGATTTCATATGCTGCAATTAATTCAAAGGAAAAGTTGCCAGAAATCATTTTCAAGATTTTGCTTTAAACAACTTTAAAATATGCAAGTAATTTTAATGTCAAATTATAGCAGTAACTTGTTTAGAAAAGTAAGCTTTCCTGTAACAGCTTTAAAAAAAAAATGCTTGTTCTTATTCCAATACCATCCATAGGTTACTTTACTTAATCACTTATGATTTTTTTAGTGGTTCTATGGCCTCTATTACACAGAAATGGAAACTATTTGCTTTTTCAGGGTCTTGGACAATCGCTAAACAGTGGTTCTCAAACTCTTCTGAATCGCAGAGCCTTTTGTCAATTAAAATTTTTTCCATGACACCCTACCCTAAGTAAAAGTGAGACTAATCGTAAGAGACAAAAATAAAAAAAAACTTGGTCATTTTTACTATTTTTGTTTTACTTTATTAATATTAAGTTAATAATTAATGTGACAGACAAGCCTGCAAATCACTGCACATTTTCTTAAATCATGAAATTAAACTGGACATGGCCACCCTCCTTTTGTTGTCCATGTTGGTTTTTACTCTATACTTGCTTTTTATTACAGAAACTGCCGAAACCCCAGCTTTGCCCAAATATGGAATTAAAATCCATCGAGTCTTGTCAATAGAAGGAGATATTCATCTTTTATTGAAATCCAAAATTCTGTCATTTCCATGCTGGCAAATTTTGCTTTCAAACTGTTGTCGCAACATAACTTGATAAGATTATCTTTTTCAACGGAAGTAAATTCAGATGGAGCAATAGTGTTAAATGGATCTTGAATTCATTCAAAACTATCGAAATTTTTATTTTGAAAATATTTCTTAAACACGATAATTAGCTGAGATAAGTGCCCCTCTAATATGGTTTATATATCTTGAGTAAGATCAATTCATTTGATGCCAAAAATTGCTGCAATAATAAAAAAACAATCTTTGCCTCAATTTTCTTCTCCACAGTGTGAGTTTATTATTATTATTATAAAAGCTGATATTTTATTCATTGACTTCAAAAGGTGTATGTTTTTTCTATACAGAGAAATTAAGGGAATCAAGCTTTTCAAAAATGTCCCATAAATTTGCCAGTTTCATTAAAAAATCAGCATCAGCAAAATCTTCTGCATCTTGGAATTCTTCCTCTTTAAAGAAAACAAAAATTTCCTTCAGGTATTAATATTAATACCTTGGCAAACTCTACAGAAATGGCTCATTGGTGTCAAAGATTCCAAAGTGAGACTAACAATTTTAACGTGAGCAAATGCTGCAGGAATACACAAGTGTAAACTTTTCGTAATCAGAAAAAATACACGATCTCGAGCATTTAAAGGAGTAAAGATTTACACCGTTATATAGCATGCAAATAAAATAGCATGGATGACATAAGCCTCAATGAATTATTGGTTTCAAAATCATTTTGAGGCTTGGACACATTTGAATTTGGTTGGTTTACCTGATGACATGAAAATTGTCCTGATTGTAGGCAACTGTTCGGCTTGCACTTCACTTAAAAGTTTTAGTGAAAGATAACGTACCCGTATTATTGTATGTCCTCCAAATTGTATGTCTATCATTCAGCCTATGGATATCGGAATAGTGCGTGCACTGAAATGCAAATATGAAGTAGAATTTTTAAAATGCATGTTAAATTTCTTGAATAATGACAAGACTATTCAAGAATTTCTGAAATACTTTAGCATAAAATCTCTTGTGTGGAGCATCGCAAAATCGTGGGAGGATGTGTGTCCAGATAATTTTAAAAATGCTTGCCATATTTCATGGTGAGGATGATGAAGATTATAGGCGCTAATTTGAAAGCTTTTGAATATCAGAAAAGAAAAGTGAAATTTACCAGTTAGTGAACTTTGTAAAGAAATGTGGAGAAGCAGTAATAAATGAAGATGATAATAACAGAAGTTTTTCCTTCCGATGACAATGCCCCAATCGTCAATCAATCAATGGATGACGAAATCTGTAATAAGTTCTAGATCAAGAAAATACTGTTACCGATAGTGAAGAAAGTAAGAGAGAAGTTATTGAAAATGAAAAAATTTTGATTGACAAGTTAGTTGGAATTCTCGACATAGCAAGTACAGGACTTCAAAAATGGAACTTTGTAACTGAACAAGAAATTATGTCTGTCTACAGAATTAAAAAGAAAGTATTAACACAAAAAATGAAGCAATTTACACAACTTGAAATGTTTAATAAAATAGACAAATAAATATTAATCTTTTTTTTCTAAATTTTGATGACGTGATTTGATTTGAAATTTTGATTTTTGAAATAATGAAGGTCATAAATGCTTCATTATTTCAAAAAATACAGTTTCATATTTTTAAACTTGTAAATTCTACATGCCATCTTACTAGATTTAAAATGATGATCTAATAGCAAAAACCTCAAATCCAGAATCGCCGTAGTCTCGAAGAGTCCAGATCTCAGACTTTGTACTGTATAGGCCTATGTGTGTTATCAATGTCCAAATCAAATTTCCTCAAAATCTGTCTATAATTTTCAGAAGATAATCAACCAAATGTTAAAATTTATCTTAATATTAAACTCTAGGGTACATCTAAACAGGACATTTGGTAAAGAAAACTTAAAAGTACCATGTAAAATACATTATGATATTAAGATCACACAGTTACAATGAACAGAATATGATGAAAAAATACATATTCCTCTTACTAAATAATTAAGAATCTGTATGTATGTTCCTCATACTGTGGAAAAATGGCAGCCATAGAGCCACCAACTTTTGAACATGCACTATTTCCTCCATCTAAACATGGGCACTTCAAAAACTGAATTTGAATTCAAAGAAAAAAAAAAAAAAATCTCATGTTTTGTGCAAATTTAATGAAATTTTGTTTAACAATCTCTGTGATTTACAAGACATGTTAGCATCAGAGTGAAACACAAACTTTCATATAGAATCTACAAATCTATCACAGTTTTTTTACAGTTTTATTTATCTCTGAACACACCTTAGAGTACTCCACAGAGACATTATATACTTATTTTTTTCCAATATCTGTAAATCAAACTCTTTAGCAATATATAATTCAAATTTCAGTGATATTAAGGTAAAGAATTAAATTTACACAATGATTCAGGTTTTCCTGTCTAGTAATTAAAAATCACTGACCATGATGATATCATTAAATGTATATAGGATATTTTTCATTCAATACTTCATTACTCAGAAAATTAAGTTTATAGTACCAGATTAGAAAAGCCCTCTGCAGTCTACATTTCTGATACAAAAATAATCCAAGACGATGCCAATATATGTAAACTAACTTTTCATTATCAAGAAACAACTTTTGCATGCAACATGCAAAAGTTGCTATACATATTTGAACTTACCAAAGGCATTCTGCTGTGAATAAAAATCTCGCCGTCTTTTCATTTCATCTGAAAAGTTAAATAACAGCAAATAATTCAGCTAAACAAAGTTACTAATTTTTACACTCATTTTCAGTTAACAGCATAACAGGCCAATTTTAAAAGTGACAAATACTTGATACTGATAGCAACTCTGAGAAATTATATATTTATTAGATTTAAAAAAAATAATAGTTAGAAATATATATTAAGTACCTTAATTACATCCGAATGTTATGATATGTCTTTTGTATACTGCAATATGCTTGTAATAGCTGAGAAATGGATATACACTCAAACCTCATTACAAGATCACCCTGCTTATAAGTATCATAATTTAAAAGTCCTAACTGAATAAATACAACTTTAATGCATACAATATCAGATAGTACTCGATTAACAAGCAGAAGGCATGCCCATTAAAGAGTTCCATTACTTCTCAGAAAATCTTCCTGATATAAAAAAAAAAAAAAAAAAAAAAAAAAAAAAAACATAGTTATTTGTTACTTTTATTTATTTATATATTACTATTAATTTTTTAAGTAATTCTCTCTGGACTCCCACTTAACCTCTGTTGAAAAAACAAGTGGAATGGAATCTACTTCACTCTGTTCTATCAATGTGCGATTTTGAAATATTCTTAGAATCTAAATACTGTCCTAATTGAAAACAAACCATGTAACTTACACTGAATAATATGGATTTTGTTTTCAGTTTTCATCAGCTTCAAATAAGAAAAACTAACAAAGGACAGCTATTGAATACATATTTGCACATAAAAAACTTGACATAACATTTATAATGGTTTACAGATTTCCTTGCATAAAATTCTAATGGCATATACAAAGTGTAATTGCTATCAGTAACAAAAGGAAAACACAAAACGCTTTTTCTTTTATTTTTATGAATGCACAGGAAAAACTTCAGCTATGGATAAAATATGTAACAGTTGAAAATGCTCCAATACAGTCTCATTCAATGGCAGAAAAATCATTGCCAAATAGAAAGCTATTCAAAGAAATTTTGAACTTTATTTTATGAGCATAAATACGAATAAAATTTATGAAACTTGCAATGATGACTTTTACATGAATTAAAAAAAAAAAAAAAAAAAAAAAAAAAAAAAAAAAAAAAGAAAATAGAAAATACAACCAATTCCTTCATGAAAATAGCTTTTTGTTTGTTACACTGGATGATTTTGTTAATAACTATGTAAATATTGTAATCTCCCTCCTTCCTGTTTTGAAATTCAGATACAGTCAAAAGTCTTTAATCAGGATGTCCATAATCTGGAATGATTTATATCCGGACCTCAAAGCTACAAACTTTCTGCGCATGCGTTTTACGCATTTAATGTATAACGGACGGTATAAGGTAAGCTAAAATTATCTATTTCAGTTAATGTTGCAGATTGCGTTGTTCCTTAATCTTCTAATTGGATTCGGCTTATTATTTTTTGCAGACTGTTAGAGCAATTTTATAAAAGTAAGCATGAACTTTCGATTATGTCAAAAAGAATTTTCGATTCTGGAGCTGCCAAAGGATCTACAAAGCGAAAGTATGTTTCGATGTCCATCAAACAACAAGTGGAATTGCGGCAAAAAATGGATAAAGCCATATCCTTTGTTCCTCTAAACATTCCGAAATCTGTTTATCAATTTCATGCTGCCGTGCGGGGGAAGGGGGGAACATTGTGGCACGGCGCGCAATGAACTGGAAGTTGATTTGTCAGCACTATCCTTATCTTCACAGCAGATGTTTTTATTTTATTTGGCTTATAATTCCTTACTAATGTAGTATTTCATCGGGATGTACTCCGTCTTTGATATGATTTAAATCAAATTCCTCAATTTAAATATCATCAATACACATCAAATAGTTTTTTGGTTGCAATTTTCTAATTTCGACTATGCGTAATGTATGCTTTACGCATGCGCACGTTGAAAGAAATGTTTAATAAAGTAAACAAATAAATATTAGGTTTTTTTTGTAAATTTTGATACCCTTTAGATCATAATTGCTCTTTATTTCATAAATTACGGTTTCATATTTTTAATTTTATAATTTCTGCATACCATCTTACCAGATTTAAATTGATGATCTATAATCCGGAATTGCCGAAGTCCCAACGAGTCTGGATTATAGACTTTTGACTGTATTATATTATGCTTACTATATTACTTATAATGAGACACACAAAATGATTAGACATAAACTATTAGCTGTAATTTGTTTTTCTTTGATCAAAAGTAAACAAAGTTGCACCCTAAGTGAAAGATTTTCAGGAACAGTTTTAAAGCGAGGCAACCTAAGGATATTTCAGTAAGTATTTATAAGCTAAAAGAAAAAATTCTAAAGGAATGTGAAAGTAATTTCACTATTAATCAACATACACAACTGCATTTTGTGCAGTTGTGTATGTTGATTAATAGTGAAATTGCATTTGATACACACTTACTTTTAAACAATCCTGGAACTAATTTATAAACTATATCTTGTAGAGTCTGGTCTGACCTTAAAAAGAAAAATATATGAAATTAGTATGCACAGTTTTAAAAAAGAATATAAACAAATAAAAACACATATAATAATATTTATGTCAACATTTTACCATAATATCCAATAATTGTAAAAACAGTATGTTTCTTGATATTTCTTTTTCACAGATTTGAGCAAGCATAATCTTCTTTGTTAAAAAATGGGGTACACATCTTTTCCAAATGATCATTTATTGTACTTTATGGAATATTTACTCTGCCTGATAGTTCCTGAACTGTATAACATGGATTATCACTGAAAGCCTCTTTTAATGGGTCCTTGTTTACGAAGGACTGCATTCCACAGCAGGCATTATTTTCAAGGCTGTAATTTAAATACTTCAGCTTCTCAAACTACCTTTCAACTGTGACACCATACACAGCATACATTTTAAGAGCTCTCTGACTAGCAATTTTCCCTTTCTTAAAATAAAATAATAAATTTTTAATAAAATTAAATTTAAATTAATAATATTTTCTTTTATTCATAGTGCTACAATAAAAAAAGTATGTCGCAACACATGCTAGAATTATATAATGTGAGCAAGAAAAGGCTATATTTAAATTTCCACTCTGATCGAAATCTCAAATAACAAAATAATTAAAAGAAAACCAACTTTAATTTGAAAAATCGCTGAACTTTCCAAATGATCCAGTACAGTCAGAGATTTAGAATCACTGGGACTTCTCAGTTTAAATACAGATAGTACAATGACACAAAAAAGTATAAAATTAGAAAATACAGTAGTATCTCTCAATAAGGCTGTGTTCAGATGGGGGCATAAGTGGTTAAAGCGGAGCTGCGTTGCCAAGGCAACCAGTCTGTGCTACGTCACATAATTTCGTTTAAGGCTCATGGCACAAGGTTCCAAGTTTTCAACTTTATGCCGAGTTTGGAATAAGCATTGATCAACAGAGCCAAGCTAAAACGAAGCGGCTTTCTTTAGACGATTTGGCTATCACATCGAAGGAGACATTTTTTTTAATATGGAGCACATGGTATCAGAACGAAATAACGAGTTGATCTCGCAAGAAATCTACGTTTTTGATATGCATTTTTTAATGACTTTTCACAAATTGAAAAATATGGATGAAATTCGTAAAGCGAAAGTTACGCTAAAGATCGCACACGCTATGTATGATCCTGTAGATGATTAGACCCCATCCATTATTTTTCATTTTATTCTGAAAATTTTTAAAAAAATGCATGCTTGCAAAAATTTTATTTTTTTGTGTAAATTATTACTATTACTTTCTTTCTGTTTATTATTTTTTTATAAATTATTACTATCATTTTCTTCTTGCTTAATTATTTTTGTATTTAAGAATAAATTTATTGACAAAGCTGGAAATATTGCTTCAAATGATGATTTTCTTTGCAAACAAACTTCATGAATTAATTTTACTAAAACATCAAATCAATATCAAGAATCTGCTGTTTTTTTTTTTAACAGTAAAAATATTACTTTAAAAAAAAAAGAAAAACTATTTTCACTTATTTAAGAATAGTAACAATAATCAATTCAATGGTGTAAACTTATTATAAGTAATAAAAAATTAATCTTTTGAAAAAATGCTCTTATGAATTCCAAGAAGGAAAAAATGTAGTGAAATATCCTTAAAACAACAGTCAAGACAGTTTTGTCTCCTGTTGATGTTCTGTTCTGTTTTTTAATTACGTTCTCCATGAAAGGGATTTACTTTTAATGAAATTGAATAGCACACATAATTCATAACATGGACTATAATTTAATGAATACAGTACACTCGGACCTCAAAGCTACAAACTTTCTGTGCATGCATAAACACATGATGCGCTTATGCATGTGCGTTTAATGTATAACGGACAGTATAAGCTGGGCTAAAATTATCTAATTATCTATTTCAGTTAACATTGCAGATTGCGTTGTTCCTTAATCCTAATTGGATCCGGTTTATTATTTTTTGCACACTGTTAGAGCAATTTTATAAAAGTACGCTTGAACTTTCGATTATGTCAAAAAAAATTTCCGATTCTAGAGCTGCCAAAGGACCTACAAAGCGAAAGCATGTTTCAATGTACATCAAACAAAAAGTGGAATTGCTGCAAAAAAATGGATAAAGGCATATCCTTTGGTTCTCTAACCATTCCGAAATCTGTTTATCAATTTTCATGCTGCTCTGCGGAGGATTGAGGGGAGGGCGTCGCGGCGCCCAATGAACTGGAAGTTGATCTGTCAGCACTATCCTCATCTTCAGGGCAGATGTTTTTATTTTATTCGGCTTATAATTCCTGACTAAATATAGTATTTCATTGGGATGTACTCCGTCTTTGATATGATTTAAATCAAATTCCTCGTCATTATAAATATCACAAATACACATCAAATAGTTTTCTGGTTGCAATTTTCTAATTTCGACTATGTGTAATGTATGCTTTACACATGCACGCTTTGAAAAAAAAAATGTTTAATAAAGTAAACAAATAAATATTAAGCTTTTTTTTTGTAAATTTTGATACCCTTTAGATCATAATTGATCTTTATTTTATAAATTATGGTTTTATATTTTTAATTTATAATTTCTGCATGCCATCTTACTAGATTTAAATTGATGATCTATAATCTGTAAAACCCCCTGATCCGGAAACGCTAGTCAGGAATAATTATAAGCCGAATAAAGTCCCGATTAAAGACTTTGTACTGTAGTATTTGTTATTATTATCTGCTCTTTATTACTATCATTTGAATGTAATTTGAATCAATAAATTCATGCTCTTTCTCTGGTACCTAAAATTTATCAATGTGAAATTACTTTTGAGATATTGGTCATAAATAGAAATGACAGCATATGTTGAAATTAAACTCTTTTGGGTGCTTTAATATGCATGTCTGCCAGAAAGTTAAGAATTGCCATAATTTGTCAGCAAATGAAAAATCATTAAAAGTAATTACTTCTGACAACAGACGTGGATGAAACTTACATCTATGATATCTCACAGCAGAGCAGAGTTTAATTTGAATTACTCAAGTGATATAAACATACCAGTTTGCAGAATTACACAAAAAAATTCCTGAAAGTTAGTGCTTACTTTGTACTGTAGTCTCGAGTGTAACCCCCTTTTTTTCAGAAAAAGCATATGAAATTCAGGGGTGCGGCTTATACATGCAAATTATTAGAAATAGATGTATACAAACAGCAAAATGTATTTAACCTTTTAACTGTCATGCCCGAGATTGCAATGGTGTTCGAAAATGTCACGCCCGAGTATTTCTCGGGGTAAATTTTTTTTTAGTGCATCGTATTGTCATACCCGAATATATATCGGGAGATGTTTATTTCGGCTACATTTGGTTTTTCCAATAAAAAATTGACAATTTGTGTACCCAAAACATCAAAATAACTTGACAGTTAAAGGGTTAATGATTGAGTATAAAATACATTGTTCGGTGGTGAACGTTTCACAGTATTGTACTAGTTGTAGTTGCTGGTCATGGTGTGGGATACTAGTACTAGTGATAATTGATACAGGTAGTGCAGCCAACTACTGTAGTGATCGACAGTGAATAAGAAGTGCTAAGCACAGAAAACATGTTCCTTTTCATTGAAAATAAAATAAAAAATAATAATAATAAAAAAAATGTATGACAAGTACTGTTTTCTGCTTAACTGCTTTCACACCTGCAAAATGGAAAAATATTAGATATAGACTATCTGTCACTTATAGTCAAGATTTTTTTTTAATTAGGCATATTTAGAATATCGTATTTCTCCTAAGAGAAATTGAAGAAGGTTTTATGTGTACAAATATGCATGTGCATGTTTATAGTATAGACAGTACTACACTACAAGGCAGAAATATTCCATACTGCTTTGCACAGAAATATGTGCCAACCAAGTATTGGTCTTTCAAAAAAAAAAAAAAAAAAAAAAAAAAAACTAGACCATTTTGTTCTTTTTTTACGTTTTTCTGTTGGCTTTTGGCTTATAAAAAGGGCAGATAAAAGAGCATTCTGTTGAACCAGTAAAACCATGACACAAAATAATGAAAACAAGCAGAGCGAGCGCGGGAAATAAATTGAGCTGGAAAACAATGAGCAACTCTCATTGGCCACAGCTTAGACCCCTGTCTAGCAGCTGTGAACTGAACTCCCGTATTTTATGCCCTTATGACTGCCTCTATGCCACTGTCTGAACACAGCTTAAGAAACACTCTGGACGAGAAAATTTATCCCTAAAATAGAGACATCCCTTCTTCAGAGGGTACATACTAAAAAAAAAAAAAAAAAAAAAAAAAAAAAAAAAAAAAAAAAATAAAAATCCAAGCTGTATCAAGAAATGAATAAATTATACATAAATAAGTAATTTAGTCACAAGCATTCATTTGAATTTGAAATTTATGAAAAATGAAAATTTTCAATTAAAAAAGTTTGCAAAAATGTATGAAACGAAATGAAAGTGAAATTTATTGAAAATAATCTGTTATACAAGGTTTGTTTGAAAGTCTCTGCAAGCAATTTTCTCACGTGGATATTAAAAAACCACTAATGATCTTCCTGTCACCAACTAAAGTCCTTCACTGTCACCAACAGTTATCACGATTTTTTTTTTTAATTGGAAGGCGTATTTTAAGGCATCTGTACAGTTTTTTATGTCACTCTCTTTACCTGGCTCTTCATCTTCCTTACTATTTTCAAGCCACTGTTGTTAAAGCTAACAGTCAAAATTAATGATTTTTGTGTTATCATTAGTGTCCTTAATACACACGTTTTCATAAATTTCCAAATATTCTTACATTTGAGCACTGCCACCAATTTTGACAAGTTCAAATGATTCATTTGCTTTATTACAATTTTCCCTGAGGGCATTTGAAACTAGAATTTCAAAACCTGCTTTCTTAAAACAGTGCATAACACAACTTTATGATATGGATTTAACAGCTTTTGTTATCCACTGAAAGGCACTCAAAACATTGACACATTTTGCAATCTGATTGCTGTTTCCACAAGCAGCTTGATAAAGCAGTAAAAACATTTTTCTGTAATGAGCCTTAAAGCTTCTAATAATACCTTGGTCCAAGTGCTGTGATACTGATGTTGCATTAGGTGACATAAACTCTAACTTCACTGATCTCAGTTTTTGATTTAGTGGGTGGGCTGGCAAATTGTCAAGAAATAGCAGAATTCTATTTTTTTTTTTCCTGAGACATAGTTTCATCAAGGGCAATCAACCATTCCGACATTATACTTTGTGTCATTCATGACATTTTATTGTGAAGCCAGAAGACCGACAGAGTTTTTAGATTGATGTGTTTGAGGCAGCTTGATTTGTTGGCCTTTCCAAGTACAACTGATTGCTCAAACAATCCTTTCATGCTACAACAAAACAGCATAGTGAGATGTTTCCTTGGAGCTTTCACAACCAAAACACTATTATCCTTTAAAGCAGTTTTATTAGATAAAATTTAATACAATTTTCCAGTTTCATCTGCATAATACATGTTTTTGCCTTATATCCCTCACAAATTTCATTTGGCTTTTTTATCCAGGCTGTTACATGTTGTATACCTACAGATTTTTATTCATCAAAAATAGTCTTCAAAGTATCATTATGTCTGTGCTTGAATTTGCCTAACCAACCATTTGATGCTTTGAATTTCTATAGTACCAGACTTTCTGAAACTTATTTTGCCTTTTCATTCAATAACATGCCACTTACAGGAATATCATTTGCTCTTCCAAAATAAAACCAATTGAACACTACCATATCAATTTCACATGTTTCACTTTTTTTAAAATTTGTCTTGGAATGTTCATTTGGATATACACCTAACTTACTTGTAGAGATACATTTCACATAACTTACTTGGTTTTTAATTATTCCATTTCCCCCCCCCTAAATCTCTTAAACTAAGCTTTTCAGTTTCTACTACATAAATTACATCAAATTTTTGTTTTAATGTTAATTACTTCCTCTTTGAAGTTATGTTAGATAAGCCAAGTAAAAATAACTCTCAAGTACAAAACTACACCTCTTTTGCTTTCCAACCCTAGCAAGAACTTAGAATGATAGAGGTTTTCATCCTATCCTATTGATAGACAGATCCTTTTGCTTGGCAAGTGGTCCAGTCATCTCACCACCTTTTCTTTCCCACTGGTTCCTATCCCCTGGTCTTCCCTTACAACTAACTAACCCTGTTTTTTTCCTCCCTGCTAAGAGCTGTAGCAAGAATAACTGATTTTGAATTCTATTTATAGGAAACATCCTTTTAATTGCACCACAACTAGCTTTTTCCTAAGGTATTGCTTCCCTTTTCCCAACTGAAAAAATGTTTTCAAAATAGAGGGATTAATTTCTCATTTTATTGTTCCTTAGTCACAAGACTAAGTTAGTAAAAGTCACAAAACTTTTACTGAGCACAAACTTGCTTTTGAAACCTAAAAAGATTACTAACAAAGAGCACTTCTATTTTCATTTATTTCTCTACCTCTGTTTTATTTTTGAAACCTTTTCAATGACCCTTAATAAAAGATAAATACACTGAGGTCCCTATTCAAAGGGACCGAGACCAACAGAATTACTCTTTAAATAGAAGTGCTCCTTACAGGAGGTGCTACCGTAGTTACTTATGAAATAATGAAGCATTTATGACTTTAAGATAATTGAAATCTTTAGTAAAGCTCAATATTTATTAGTTTGTTATAATAAACATTTTCTTTCAATATAAGTTGTTTAAGCTTTCCATTTTTTTTGTGCTAATACTTTCTCATTAATTTTATACACTTTTTTCTATTTACAGAGTTCCAATGTTCAAGCCCTGTAACTGCCATTGTCATGAATTCTCATTGAACTGTCAATTGAAAACTATTCATTCTCAGAAATCTCTTTGTCACTTCCTTCATCATTGGATCATATACTAGATTTTACCATCCATTAATTGATTGGGGCATAGTCTTTGCAATGGAAAATTTCTGTTTGTGGAGAAGTTATAATAAATGAAGATGCTGTATATTCATTTATTATCACTTCTACACAAATTCCATTAATTGGAAAACTTTGCCTTCTACAGTATTCCAGATCTCTTCCTAAATGATGTTGTTATACCTACTTTTGAAATCTTTTTTTATGCCCAAATTGCACCTATACCATTTCTCTTACTAGATTTGCTATAAAAAGCAAATACCAAATATGTTTTCACATTGTAGATGCTGCTACAGCTCCAGAATTAGAAACTCTTTTCTATACGATCGAAGAATGACTTTGAGATAGTTAAAATAATAAAAAGCAGAACAAACCATAAAGGATGAGCTCAATTTGCAATGCTAACTTAGGTTCTTCGGAATGTAATCCTTTCTCGCTTCCCTGCTACTATGACAACAAAAGAAAGCCAGTATAAGGAACATCCCACTTCAAAGAAATATATCTTGTTAGACCAGATAGAAAAATTTTACCCTTCCTCCACAATCACTCAAGGGCTGTAAGCATTGTCATGGCCCCTATGTCAATCAATCTATTGTCATTGGCCACGATGTGATTCTCTAGCTATTTGAAATAGATTTATCTCACTTAGTTGGAAGAATTGCTTCTATGGCATAACTTTTTGGAAGGAGGGATATTAAATTTGCCATTTCTAGATTAAAAAAGGAGGGGAGAAGAAATGAAAAGAAAAATTTCTGGTGATACAAATATTAGATCATTCTAGATATTTGACATCCTGATTTTGGACGGAATAGGAAATTTGATTTGAATTAGGAATAGGAAATTGAATTTTGATTTGGACATCGGAATAGGAAAAGTTTAAAAAATTTGAATAGGATAAGAACATACTTCTGCCAATGCAGAATATAATAGCAATATGGATTATTTATTTACGCTTATATAAATGGCAACAGTAATTAAAAACAGTGAAATTTTGTTAGTTTACTTAAAATGATCAACTACTAATTACAGCTTTTGAATACTTCAGAATTCTTTACAATGTTCTCACTCACAAAGCACCCTGCTATATACACAAATAATTAAACATCATAATTACATTACAATCATCTATACAATTTTTCATTTAGAAATAATGTGCAATTCCATCCCATTTTTCCATACCTTTAGTGGCATATTTTTATCATATTACAAATTAAAAGCAATATTTACCTAATATTAACTAAAGGGCGAGTCTTATGCACCTGGACTTCACACGTAGGACAAAATTTGTTAGTCTGTAAATACCGTACAATACAGGTCCGACAAACTGGAAAAAAGTAAGTTTTTAAAAATACAAACAGAGAAACTTTTTAATAGCATCTCAGATAAACAATTTTTGAAATGAACTCGTAATAACAGCATATTAATTCCGATCATTAAAATTTAAATATTTTTATTTTCAGATTACTTATTTCATAGAACATACAATATTAAGTTCCAACAAATTACAGTATTTCATTAACATAGCATTAATGTCAGTAACATTATGAATGTATTCTTTCGAACTATTTCTTAAATTTCATTCTTTACATAGCATTCAACTTCATACAGACTATGGGGTTTTTCCCTTTACCCCACATTTGTTCAATGCTTTGATTTCTCCTCCTAGTGCATGAGCAATAACATCTCATCTCTGTGCAACTTCAAAAAAGAATTCTTCCCTTCTGTTTTTACAAGTCTGTGTACACTGTTTAGTCATCGTTGAGATTAATGTTATTCTAACGCTATGTACATATTTTGATTTATTAAAAGAATTATTTTTTTATAAATGGGTGTTAAGCAGTTACATAGATTTATTTTTTTGAATATGCATGTAAACAATTCACTACTTGCAACAAGTAAGATAACAATAATTCATTACATAATAAAAACACAGCTTTATGATATCATCAGCATTCATGGCAAATTTCATCCCATACAGGATGATTCAGAATTAATGGAACAAACTTTACGGAGATGGTAAAGCAAGCTTTAACAAAACACTTTTGTACACGAACGTATGGATGCAGGTGATGTCTTGGGGCACGAGGTCAGGAAATACGACATGGAAGGAGACATAAATTGTTTAATTTGTAAATTACCGACTAGTTCCTCTTTAGGTACCTTCATATCAACACAACCACTCTTGCACAATTTGGCGACTTTTTGCAAATAGAAAGGTAAAAGTTACTTCTCGGGAACAAGTTGGTGGTTTTCCTGACTTTTAAAAATTTCCAAGCTATCGATATTTATCATAAATCGACAAACATTATGAACATATATATATTTAAAAAAACTTGAACAATTTAAAATACAAATTTAAATTATGAAATAAGGATTATAAGATTAAAAAAACATTTCTTTGCAAAATTGCTTTGTAATTTTATGCTCTGACCTGCCTGTGCAACACTGTTTCAGTAAAAAAAAAAAAAAAAAAAAAAAAAAAACCTAAAACTAAAAACCTGGCACTGTGCACAATTTCATCACTATTAATAGTCTATTTGTCAAACATATCTCATTATTCCTCCCTTTAGTGATTTGCAATAAAAATATATTATATTCCTGCAGAAATTTTACTGCAATTTCTTCCACTGCTGGCAAATTCCACAAATGAATATTTAAAAAAAAGGGGGGGAGGAAGGATATGATTTGAAACCATAGGAACCTGGAACAAAAAGAATGCGAAAATGGCAATGTCATTTGACTGAAAGACTGTTACTAATTTACATACATTTTCTTCTCTAAATTCATTTACTTCATACTAAAGAAGTTAACATTTCTGCTAGTCTTTTTCATCTGCTAAACTGTTATTATTTTCAATAATATTCCTTAAAACAATTTTTCTTTTGATTTATATAATGACTTTTTTTAAAAATAATTTTATCTTTGAATTTTCTGATTTAGTTGGAAGATTTTTATTGTTCTAAAAATCTGCAGAAAGAGTTCCTAATCTTATTTCTTCTTATATCAGTATTGGGAATAACTCCAAAAATGTTCTGAAGTGATATATGGCACATTGATATAAAACAAAATTTTAAATTATCTGTTATTAATATCTTTATAAACAAAGCAGTCCATTTCTTTCCATAGAAGCTTCCAAGTGCAACATATTTGAAATCATTTTTGCTATTACCCCTGATTGTTCATATAATATATAATAATAATACAAGGAAGAGAGGAGAGAAAAAGAAAGAGAAGAAATGTGTCAAGAAAATCTTCTGGGATTAAAATAGTAGAGGAAAAAATTCAAAAATAACTTTGGTTCCATAGCTTTTTCCAAAAATTATCTAAACAGTAGAAGAAATTTATCACAATCTTCTGTAAAACACTTGGGTACTTTTCCGTTTTGCCGGCGCAAATGATAAAGTCGCCAACAATGGTACAACTGATGCCAAACAGAATATATTCGCTGGTAACCTTTTACGCCTCATTTCCAAAACAAGTCGTAGCCCCATTTCTTATCAGATTGATTGTTTCTTTCAATACTGGCATACAATTACATAGAATTTTTACAAGATAGTTAAATTTTATACCCTAAGACCATTCGGTAATTAAGCCAATTAGAGTGCAATCACACGCTCACCCGAAAAAATAAAGAAAAGGCAAAATCAAGAGTTAATTCATCATTCGAATGAGAATGTACTAGCGAAGTAAAGCACTGCGATTTTACATAATTTCTGTGTAAGCTATTCTACGAATTGAAATAATTCTGCATTTAAACTTGTATCCCAAATTAAGATTTAACTTGAAATTGATGTATATATACCTGAATTAGATTTTTATAGCGTAGTTTATGTGATATGAGATCACTTGGAGTCACGTGATACGAATCGGCGAATCAGGATGTTGAACCATGAAAGCATAGTAAATTCTTAAATTAATGCCTTTTGACAAAATTTTAAACCATATTAAAATGTTTATGCCTTCAAAATAAAAAATTCTTAGAACTAATGTTTGTTAACATTTTTTATGTGTATACTGTATGTTGTCGCCAACAAAGTCTGCTTGGCCAGATTTGCGCCGGCAAAACGGAAAAGTACCAATACTTGTATTGTGTCATTATGAACACAATTTTTATTTTGTCACGGGCTTTTTCTGGATTGGTATGCAAAAATTGTGATCTAGTGTTTTTATATTAATAAACATATTTATATGCATTATTAAATCTTGGTAAAACCTTTCCAGATATGTGGCATCTACAGAAAAACTGCCTCAACAGCCAACTCATCTTTCATACTTGCCAACATATTACCAGAAAATTTTTGAGAAAAATTATTTAGAAAGAAAAAGGGTAAAGTTAATTTTAACAGAGAAAGCTGACACATTATCTGAATATTATGAAGCAGTTACCTGTGAAAAAGCTCTTATAGGGAAAAAAAAAAAAAAAAAAAGATAAATGATACATATTTTAAAATATCTACAGCAGCATTTTTGTAAAATCTAAAAATGTAATTTCAAAATTATTCTGTCATATTTATTATCACATTTCATTTCGTGACCTATAAATAACTTCTTCTAAAATTATGTGTGCACCACATGACTTCTTTGTATGGCCTATTAAATTATACAAATTTTTTTGCTTGATTTAAATTTATTTCCTTGAATTTTAAAGATAGATTTTTCATTCAATTAATTCAGTTCTCACTTCGCGGGAAAGCAAAGATACATAAAACCTTAAAATATCTTTAATGAAAAACCTCAAAATACAGAAGAATATAAAGCACCAAATACAGTTAAAAACAGTTCAAAAAATTTTAACTTCAAATTAGACTTTGTATGCAAAAACAAGCAATTCGGCCAGCAGGCAGGAAGACAGATTTTTTGGTGCACAAAAAATGAAAGTTTACGTCTGATCCTACTCATAAAAAAGACATTGAAGTTGGTGCACAAACTGACTTTATTTACTGTTCTACTAAGAGTTTCAAATGTAAACAAATGACACCCTTGTTAGACTTAGTACCACTTAAACATTTAAATTGTTTTACAACTTGCACCGCCAAAAATCGCCAAGGGCCACCCATAAATATAATTTTGAGATATACTATTCTTAAAAAAAAAAAAAAAAAACGCTTCACGATTTACACCAGCATAAAGTTCCCCTTATGCTGAAAAAAAGCTTGATGATCAATTCGGTTCCTGCAAATCATCTTACACGTACATCTAAACTCCGGACTATTAGCACCATTACATCAAAACTCGAGAATAATCCTACGGAAGAACGCAGTTAGAACTCTGAACCTGAATTCGAATGACTATTAGCTGGAGAGCGCGTAATTTCATGTAATCTAATAATTGTATATAAAATGTATAAATGTATCTAAATATAATCTTTTATTATACAGAAGTGTCAGTTTTTATGCAAAAGCTTGGAATTATTTAGATATTTCATCGAATAAGAATTAGAATGGAACAAGCTCGGCTCCCGGGTGAAAGAAAAGGTAAGAGATTTCTTTTTACCTTTTAGAATTCTATTGAGAGATACAACAATTTTTTGGCATCCCTGCCGGGACGCCCGAGCTAAGAATAAGAATTTAAATTAGACAATAAAGATTAAGAATACAATTATTGATTACTTTTTTGAATTTTTGAACTGTTAAGAACATGTCTGAAGAGATTTTAAATAAATTAAAAAAGAAGCGCGCAGCTCTCCGAACATCAGTAACGAAATCGCTTAAAGATTTGGAATCGCAGCTTTCGGAAATTGATCCGAAAATTCATGATTTGGAAGAAAATTTAGAAATAATTTCGAATCGCTTAAAAGTGTCGATACAGAATTAGAACCTCTTTTTAAAGTCGAAGAATTTGATGCTGAATTCCAAAAATCTGAAGAATATCGTCAAAAGGTCGTTAAATGCAGTTTCCGTACCTCCAAAAGAATCGACGAATTAAAACGCAAATCTACTGAAACGGTAGTAAATAACCAGTTCAGTACTGACAGTCAAAGCGAACCAAAACATAACGAGTCTGTTCGAATTAAATTACCTAAGTTAACTTTAACGAAATTCTACGGAGATATAAACAACTGGCTAACCTTTTGGAACAGTTTCGAGTCTGCCATTCATAAAAATGATTCATTAGATAAAATAGACAAATTTAATTATTTGAAAGCTCATTTAGGTGGTTCTGCTTTAAATACAGTCGAAGGATTACCGATTACTGCTGCTAATTACGATTCCGCAATTGATCTTCTAAAAGAAAGATTTGCGAAAACAGATGTGCTCATTTACACTCACATAATAACATTTTGAACACTAAACCGTTGAAAATCTCGAATGATGTTCGCGCCTTTAGAAAATTTTATGATAATATTTCTATCGAATTAAGATGTTTAGAAAATTTGGGTCAGTCTCTCGAGAATTTATCAAGTGTGTTATGTCCAATAATTCTGAAATCACTTCCCCAAGATATTTTGCTTGAGATTAACAGAATGAGTAATGGAAGTGCGTATTGTAATATTAAAAGCCTGTGCTTGATTATAGCTCAATGTTTAGATTCACGCGAAAGGGCGGAAGTCATAAATAAGAATTCAGAGCATTCGACAGCGAATAGTGGGCGCCGTCAGTCTGCGTATGCAGTCCAGAAAATAAACACTCGTCATTTCAGCGATGGAAAGAGCAATAAATTAGAAACGAAAGCTTCTTCTGCTTCTGATTTAGTGTCCACGGGTATTAAAGAAAAATTGATTAAGGCATGCGTTTTTTTGCGGAGATTTTTCCCATTCAAGCCATAAATGTCCTATTGCCCAGAAACTAACGAATGACGAAAAGGTTGAAATACTACGCAAAAATGGCACTTGTTTTAGGTGTTTACAAAATAAGGGTCACATCAGCAAATTTTGTGATTCTAACATTTTTTGCTCCCATTGTCACTCTAAGCATTCTACGATTATGTGCAACAGAATTAATTCCGAGAGTAAAAAGGGAACGATCAAAACTGTCCAGGAAGTTGAAAATAAAGTACTTTCGAATCAAAGCAACCGTTCTGAAGTTTATTTACAAACTTTGGTCGTAGGGGTAGCTGGGAAAACCTTAAAGGGTTATTTAAGATTGCTAATAGACACCGGAAGTCAGAACACGTACATAAGTCAATATGCTGCTAAAACGTTGAAATTAGAAAAGATAGGAACTGAA